CCCTTAAACTCTCCAAGCATATTAAATATCATTATTGCTAAAATAAAATCAGATGGATTGCTTAGCAGCTAATTTTACTATTTCTCCTTTGCAGAATTTCATGCTTGTTGGACAATAAATGATAATAGAATGTATTCTAAGATTTCTTATATGCTGGATTATGATTTTGATGTGCTAATATCACTAATGAAGTATGTACCATGAATAATGATCATTTCACATTAGTATGATTATTCTGATAAATAAGGCTAACCTATATGGTATCACCTTGTTTCCATAGAAAAACTAATCATTCCGGTTCAATTTAAGGGGATACGCTAATTCTTTTTTTTTTTTCCTGATCCTTTGTCATTATGGGGTAGTGAGTGTAGATTAAGGAGAAAAAAAATGAATTTCAACAACTGTAATAGTAATAGTAGTAAAGTTGGAAGGGACCTTGGAGGTCATCTAGTCCAACCCCCTGCTCAGGCAAGAAACCCTACACCATTTCGGACAAATGGCTGTCCAGTCTCTTCTTAAAAACTGTAGAATCAGGCTGCAGGATAACAAAATTGACAAAAGTGAAGGGGGTCTGAATACTTTCTGAATGCACTGTATGTAATGAAAAAATATACTGAGATGGTTTGGTCAAACAGAAAAAATGAATGAGGCTCAAATTACAACACAAACACAATACAATATATCTAAAATTTACTGCAAATCATTCAGATTCTGAACAAACAATACAGAATTATCTGTTTACAAAACTACATATATATTCATGTCTCCAAATGAAACATCTGCAACATCACAGATTAACAAAGCCTTCCTTGTCACTTTTATCCATACATTTATTAAGTACTCAAGGGTTCATTGCACATCATTGTCTTACTTCCTCCTCAATATTGAAGCACTTATTAAAAATTCTATTTATTCTCACTCATGTTTTTCTTCATTACATCCCTCCCACATTCAGCAAGTAGCTTTCAAGTCCTTGTTTATGTAAAACGTTGCATAATTCAGGCTTATCGTATGCGTTTGCTAAATCAACAAACATGTAATAAAATTCCTTTGTTGTATTCACACATTTCTTAATGGCTTGCTGAAAAGCAAAAATTTGACCTCGGCATGCTGGCACAAAACCATCCTGTACTTCTGAAATGTTGTTTTTGTACTCTTCATTTATGCTTCCCACCTTTCCTTTATGTATGAAAATAATAACCGCATTCTTCTATTCTTCAGGGATAGGTGTAGTTTTCACATATTAAAGAAGTTGCACAGTCGTTCCCCAAGCATACCACATCTATATTTTAATATTTTTCCCATTCAAACTCTTTAAACCTGCAACTTTTAACTTTTAAAACATTTTCACATTCATTATTTTCTGTTCGCCTACTTTTACTTTAATTCCCATTCTTCTAACATATTTCTGTTACTCCAATACAGGCGTCCACAATATTCCTGTTAGCATTTTCTCACCTCACTTTGTTTTCATCACTTTTATTTTTAATTCCTATCACTCTACTGAAGGCTCATTGCTTACCTCTCTTCATCCACCTTTATCGAAATCTTTCAGCATTTTTCCTCTTTCTTAATCTTAACTGTCCCTTGTTGTTTATGACTATGTATTACTCTGTGTACATATATAATAGTATTTTTATCCTATCTTCAAGTTTGTAGTGATCATTCCCCTATATTTTTTTATTCTCATCCAGTTCATGTTCCACTAAGCATCCCTTTTCCTACTTCTCATTATTGTAAATCCACACATTTGTGTAATGCTCTGTAATATAATTCTTTTCATTCTAACACATTCCTTATGTCCACTCTCTATTCATTTTTTTGATAGAGTAATCTATCTTCTAATATTATTTCTTATATGACCCATATTTTTTATTTCTTTCCCTTTTTTGCTTCATGCCCACTTCTCTCCCCCCCTCCCCCCGATCTACTCCTGACATAATCAAAAAAGTAGTTTGACGAACATTCGGAATTCTCACCATCCTTGTGTCCTACACTAATTCTGCCAATTGTTCATCAAAAGCAATTTGTTAATCATGCTTTTATACTTATATTTATTTCTTTGCCACACAAACATATGAGTAAACAAATGCTTAATCAACATATTTGGAACCAACTTTTTCAAAGCAAATCTTCACCAAACTATCACTATTCTAATTTATTCTTGAGTCTCCAAATAGCAAAGTCACTTTTTCTATACTGTCTTATCTTGTTCCTATTCATGTCACCTAACTGATTTTTTCCCCTTTTGGATAGTATTCATTGACTGTTCCAAAATTTTCCCCAAAACTACTATTTTGTTCTTCCATTATCATCATTCCTTTGAGAGGATTGCAATATCACAATTTCTATTTGCACATCCACCTATCGCAAAAGAGTTGACCCATGCTTTCTGATATACATTTTATCCCATTTACTTATAATTAAACCTACACCTTCATTTCTTTGCATGTTTTAATGAGTCCATTGCACAATATCAAATTACTTTCATTCAGATATATTCTCCTTTCTTTTAGTTTCACAGATACACAACTTCTTTCTTTTCTTTCTTTCTTTCTTTCTTTCTTTCTTTCTTTCTTTCTTTCTTTCTTTCTCTCTCTCTCTTTCTGTCTCTCTCTCTCTTTCTTTCTTTCTTTCTTTCTTTCTTTCTTTCTTTCTTTCTTTCTTTCTTTCTTTGCTCTTTAGTATTTATTCTTCTTACATTCCAAATCATAATCTTCCACGAGTTTATTATGTGTTTATTATGTGTTTATTATCAGATGGACCCAAAGCTATTAACATCATAGCTTTGGACAACTGAGGCTTTGACATAAAACTTTCTAATAAGGTGAAGGTACAGACTACTACTCAGCACTCTGGATTATACTCATGCCACATGCAGTATTATCTATTAACATGTAATGACTGTAGTGGTTAGTTTGAGCACATTTTGTCAAATATGTCATAAGCGCAATCAAAGCCAGGTTTTGTCTCAAGCATGTTCATCCTAATCATACAAGAGGATCTGCAATCTACACACTACTTTGGAAGACAGTATGTTGTTGCCTACATTCCACCAACTAAGAGTTACATGCAATATACTGACTTGTTTAGAATAGGTTTGAACCTTTCAATAAAAACAAACAAATAAATCATACATAAATGTGAATTAGGCATGTTACAAATAAAGTAAATGTCTCCAGCCTCAGCTATTATCCAGCCTGAGCTAACATGGGAGTTATAGCATTCTTAGAAAATGAAATAAGTCAGTAGTTGGTTTGGAAGAATGACATTCCTGGAACTTAAAAGGGCTGGCACAGAATAACTGTCTTTTAAATGGCAGAAAGTTAATGAACCATAACAATAGCATTTAGATTTATATACTGCTTCATAGTGCTTTACAGCAGCACTATGAAGCAGTATACAAGTCTAAATGCTATTGTTATTTATAGCAGCGGTCCACAACCTTTGTGGTTTGGCAGTCCAGCTGGGCGGGGTAAGGCACATGCATGTGCATCTCAACTGCAAGCAGAGCTGCACATGCATGCATCTGTACACAGACCCACCACTCATGTGACTCGAGCTGTGCATGCACATGTGTGCACAAGGTCGCCTCTTGAGCTGCCTAGTTCCGAACAGGCAATGGGCCAGTTTTGAATAAGCCACGGTCCAGTAGTGGGCCACGGCTTGGGGGTTGGGGACCCCTGCTTTACTCTAAGCAGTTTACAGAGTCAGCATATCGCCCCCAACAATCTGGGTCCTCATTTTACCAACCTCAGAAGGATGGAAGGCTGAGTCAGCCTTGAGCCAGTCAGAATTGAACTGCTGACAGTCAGCAGGGTTAGTCTGCAATACTGCATTCTAACCACTGTGCCACCAAGGCTCATTTGAGAGTGCCTTTGATGGGCTCTTAAAGTTTCAGGTGTGTCCACTAGCCTAAACAAGTTGCCTATTCTGGATCAAAGAGTCTGAAATTTGGTTAAAAAAAAAAGAATGCTTAAAAGGAAAGACAAAAGTGCCAAAGGTCTTGCAGCAACAACAGAAGCTTATTTATAAATCAGAAAGGGTACAAGCCCAATGGAATGCTAGCACTATTAAAATTCCATTGAAAAATTACAAGTCTTATTAACATGCATAAAATGGGTACAACAGGTCTTCTGCTAAAAATTATAGGGACCAATAATTAGTATAAATAATTTTAAAAACAGCAAAGGGTACAGGTAGACTATATTGATGGCTTTAAAGTTTAAGATTTCCTAAAGAAGGGTCAAGAAATTACAAAGAGGTAAGAGAAGTATTTTTATTTCTCTGTTGTATGCCTGAACTGGCTTTTTAAGAGAGTAGGACTGGAGAGCTGCAGCAATTAATTCTGATAAGAGAATAAATGTTAGGCTTTATTTAGAAGTACAAAGTAATATATCAGAAATTCAAAATGGCATTCATTTGAGAAGGTTCAGATATGAAATTGGTAAGTTCATAGGTTTCCTTCGATTGTACCAGAAAAGAGGAAAATAGCTGATGATGTTAACAAAGCAATCCAATAAATACCAGGGCAGAAATTAATCACAGAATCCTAGTCTATCATGAGTAAGCTAATTAGTTGAAAACAGATCAACAATAACTACAATAGTTTTAATTCTGGTGTCAATAGCTAACAGAATTCTCTGTGCTTCAGTTACAGTTTTTCAAAATCTTCTCATCTGGGAGATAGTTGTAATGAACATATCTTAAGGCTGTGCTACAGGGGCAAGAATATTTTCCAAATTTCACACAGTAAAAGCTGAGGGTAAGCGTGTCTTAATAGAAATATTACTTTTAAGAGTACTGGAGGGAAGGGGGAATATAATGGTTCCTGATTCTCTTAAGTATGTTTTTCTTCCCTTGGTGAGAGACGAAAATGAGTTCTCCTAAGAATTCCTCTTAGAAAAAATGTTTTCCTTCTCAATCAATTTAGTGCATATATACTCTTATGTATTCATACACAAAAAACACAATGTGATATATCAAAATAAAATATTTACCTGTTGTGAATAGGTCCGCTGAATTTTGGATCAAATTTTCTGGGTTCACCTGCATTTAAAATAAAAGATTATAAAATAGGTCATAGCAAACATAACAAAAAAAAATCAGGAATCATATGTTGCTACTTGGTCTAAATCAGTGGTTCTCAACCTGTGGGTCGGGACCCCATTTGGGGTCGAATGACCATTTCACGGGGGTCGCCAAACTATGCTCTCCGCCATTTTTTCCCCTTTTCCCTAGCTGTCCTACTCCCTCTTATTGGTGGCCACACCCACTTGGGGGTCACCACAACATGGAGAACTGTATTATGGGGTCACGGCATTAGAAAGGTTGAGAACCACTGGTCTAAGTGAAATATTTTGAGAAAACTCCTAATAGCTGAAAACAGAACTAAAAACTGAACCTGGAATTCAGAACTAGGAACCAAGTCAAGAAACTGAAATTGAGGGTCACTTGAAACCTAGAACAAACAACAAAAACATCCGTAATTTCTACATAAAGTGCTATCCTGCTGTAGAACTCATACTACTTATTACTAAACAGAAATCTTCTAGTTTAATTCCCGTAGCTCCTGATATATTTGGTGATGGACATTGATACTGCTTAGCTGCCCAACTGCTTTCATTCGCCAAAAGTCCTTGAAAAGTTGCCATTCAAATTAATTGCTGTGGATTAAGTTATTAAATGCATGGGGAGTATCTTTATTAGTTTTATGTAATAAATTAAATTTATTAAATCACCTTACATTCACATTTTTATTCAAAATAAATCTAATGTTCCTATTATCCTGATCCCACCTACTTTTTTACCTTGGCTGTTTCTAGTTGTTTGAAAAATGCTCAAAAAAACTTTTAAAAAGTCAATGTCAAACCAATAATACAGTGTTAACAAAGCCCATGGTATTTTCAATGAATCATCGTATAAAATTGTTGTATGGCATGAGAATGCAAGAGCATGAACACTTTCTACAGTTTCAAATCTGTATAGTTTAAGAGAAAAGTATTTGCGTATCTACTTGTATGAGTTGAGTTCACTGGGAAATTCTATGGGGCAAAAATACATTAAGACAAATAGAAGAAAGATACAGTATATTGTTTTTGCCAAAGCAATCCCTTTATTTTTTGAATGATTCTTTGTCAATATCTTATATTGTACATTTCTACTCATAAATAAATCCTGTGGAGTTCAGATTACTGCCTACAGAATTCTTGCAAACCTAGTTTCATTTCAAAATCCTTGCCTATGAATTAATTACAATTGCAATTGCCATCACAACAACGTTGAGCCTCAAATTCTCCTTCCGCTCCTTTAAGCTTCCCCAATCCTTCATCCACATTTTCAACCTTAAAAACAAACATACACAGGTAGTCCTTGACTTACAATAGTTCATTCAGTGACTGTTCAAAGTTACAGCGGCACTGAAAAAAGTGACATGACCATTTTTCACGCTTACGACCACTGAAGCACACTTAACAACTGTGGCAAAAAAAATTGTAAAATGAGTCAAAATTCACTTAACAAATGTTTCATTTAACAACAGAAATTTACCCGTACTTTCTTGCAGCACGAGATATTTAGGTTTGTTTTTTTAAAAAAGATTTTTATCCTGCCCTTTTTTCCCCAAATACAACTCAAGATGCCAAACATAGCAATGCTCTGTCAACCAGCCAATTCATACAGTTCTGGGGGGGAAGGTTGGTTCTGACAAACAAAAAAATGTAATGCAACTTAATAGTTACATACCACCAATTGACCTCTCCTGTCTATGACATCTTTTTTTTAGTCTGAAGTAATAGGAGATTGTAGTAAGTACGTCAGGAATGAGGCATATACTGTAGAATTCATAGTCTTAATCCTTTCATTAGTTAGTCAGTAGCTCTTATCAGTTTTCATGCACTCCAGCATTGCATAAAAATAAGCTTCTTAAATCCATATATTATATGACTTAGTGCTAGAATAACAAAAGAATCCAAGTGAAACCATTTTTTTTAAAAAAAAGCAAGGATGAAAATGATACAAAAATTACTTCTAGATAAATTACATCCATAATCTATAAGTGCTTTATCCGGTGGAAACAACCATATGCAAGGGTGAGATACTGTATGAATAATTCTGCTTGGAATCCTGAAAGTTAGAATGTAAAAAAAGAAAAAAAAACACTTTGGAGGGGATATTCAAAGGAACATCCAAAATATTCCATTATGGATTCAACATACTCTGTAGTGACAGGGAACAGATAGTATTCCTTTATAACAGGGGTGTCAAACTGAACACGTCACGTGATGTTGTGAGTTTGACACCCCTGCTTTATAAGATAACGGCTAATTTACTTAAACTTAAACAGATATACGTATTCCTTCAGCACAAGAAAGAGATCATTTTTTTTAATTTCCTTGACCATTTATGGTACAGATCTTGGGCAGTGGTGCATTTCAAACATATGAACAAACTGGTTCTCTGTGTGGTTCTCTGTGTGGATGCCACTTCCATTCTGGGCCTGGGTAACAAAAAAGTAGCTACCGGTTCTGCCGAACTTGTGCGAACTGGCTGAATCCCACCATTGATCTTAGGGTATTATATAGGCCCAGATTTTGTAGCCTTGTATTAAGTGATATTAATATTAAGATATAACTGATCTGAGAAGTCTATAATGCTTGGAAAGATGAAAGGAAAGAAAAGGACAACTAGTGGCAAGGAAAACAAACTAGATTTTAGAGGCAATGGTGGCTATGGAAAACCTGAAGGACCAGATCACCCTGGGACTAGTTATGCAATTGCTAAGAGTTGACACCAATTTGAAAGCACATAATCAGTCGAATTATTATTATATGGATCTAAAAGGCTAGTTAATCTCAACAATAAATTGTTTAAATAAAGCAGCTTCATTACTAATTGAAAACTAACCATGAATCAGCACAATAGGAACAGAATTTGTAAGAAAGTGATTGAAATTTGGATAAGTGGTGGTTAAGAGAAGAGATGAAAAAAGTCAGGAAAATACAACAGCGTTGGAACTTCTTTAAATGGAAATGAGAAAACTTGGATAATTGGTGTTCTTTTTCTTGTATCCTTTTGTGTGTTCTTAATGAACTGCCTGGTATCTTAATAACATAATAATAAAGTAAAAGCCTCAATATTTGCTTCACGATTCTTAAAATGAGTGCTTAAATCATCACATTTTTTAATGGAAAGTATGAATGGCTCTAACTAGCAGAAAAACAGCCAGCATTGCAAGAGGAGCAGAAGAGCAAGACCATAATTAGAAGAAAAAGGGCTGCATAAATTTAAGTAATATGAAATGAAGCTTTTTGGAGTGGTCAATTATATAAGACATACAAGCTGTAAGAATAACTTCTCAAACTTTGTTTTGATAAGAAAGGTCCTAACAATGCTTCTCCTTTTGAATTGTTGCCATCTCTTTTTCATTTATCTTGAATTATTCTGAAGATCAAAAGGGTTGGGAAAGGATTTTAAATGCTACAGGGTTGTGAAAAAAATAGCCACGTGTAAGACTATTTATAACCATGAACTATTATATATAATTATACTCAGATTTATTCAAGGAGACTGTAGCTGGAAAAATGAACTGCTATTTTTAAAAACACGATATATCATTTTCTCAACTAACGTTAAATCTATCTGATACTCAGAGAATATTCCCATGGTGTGACACCATTATGGGACTCTGTAAAGCAGACATAGGCCAGTGAAGTGGAAAAGTATAGCATTGAACAAAACCACTGATGGAAATGGTTAGGCCCTCCGAGTAGAAGTTAAACACAAAAAGCCTGAGGCCCAAACAATAAAAATATAATGAAATGAATAAAGGGGTTTATAATAGATATCTCTAATGTAATATAAATTACAGCATTTACCATTGCCAAGACTAATGAATATATATTCATTTGCATAGCACTTTGGTACCCTTCTGGATGAATAATGCCATATAAAATGCAGTAGATTACTCTCAAGGGTTAGTGAACTGTCTTCTTAAACTACTACCACTCAGCTGTGGCACATGGCCAACAGTGATATTAAACCATTAACGGTTATTATTCTCTCGATACTCTGTGTGAATCACAGTGTAGTGCAACATGGAAAGGTAGCAAAAGCACTGATCTTGAAATTCTGCTGGAATCTCAGTTCATAGCTCATTGCTTTCCTGACTAGGATTTTTGCTAAAACTACAGATGCTGCCATCAGTTTCATAAAGTAAACATGAGGATAATCCTGTTTGGCCAACTAATAACAAAACTTCATTGTTCCTACCCTCTATTTGGAGGAACATTGTGAAAAAAAGATTAAATTCTCTGGAAGGACTCTGGAACAGCATCATTTGGTTCAAGTAGAAGGCAAGTGATCTTCAGACATCAATAAGAAGGAAAGGTCTTGATTCTCTGAAAGACGACCTGAAGAACAAGATCTTCAAGAAGAACTTTTATGAATCTCCTCATTCAAAACGGAATCCCAGGCCTAAGGGACCCAAAAGAAATTAGATGATCCAGCTTGGATGGAGCTGAAGAAGATTGCAAGGACAGCTTGTAACAGCTAGCACCAGAATTATGAAGATCACACAGGAAAAGGAAACCTGCCTTTTTAAATTTTTGCTTTGATCAGGAGAAACTTTTTATAAAGCTGTGATCATATGCCAACTCATCAATCCAATTTGATGGAAGTGTGGCAAACTCTTGGGAAATGAGGATTTTGAAGAAGAGAAATTCTGTGACATGGCAGGAGCTTAAGAGAAGACAGAGGAGCTACTGTACTGTAATTTCAGAGTCTGGTGCTTACACAGCCTGCACTCAAAGGGTAGTTCACCAAAGGATGAATTATTGTGATTCTTTTGTAAACACTTGGCAGGGATTACAAGAGTTTATTGTGTAATTTTACTCAAGGCAAAAAAATATCAGGGGAGGGAGTGGGGAACTGTTGAATGAGTATAAGTTTAGCAATTGAATTTGTTATCACTGTGGTCTTCAGAAATGAAGTTCAACACTTCATTTCTGTGATACATGGTCTATATACAGAGGTCAAGAATTATGAAGCTC